TTAAATTTATAAATTTTATTTAATAGGAAAACAATTGCGTAGATAAAGATCAGGACAATTGACAAAATAATTTTGAAATTAATATTAAGATATATACATCACAGCCAAGGGGTACAGCAAAATATAACTAAGTTCSGTGTTTTATCACACATCCTTTCTTAATATGAATACATTTTATGATTTATGGAATTAAATTTACCTCTAATTCAGCAATTTCTAAAGAATGATCTATTCGACCATCTTCTTTTTCTGCAAGCTGCAATGTTTCTTCATCATCACTCCAACTGGAATTTGATGCTTCAAAATCTTCATCCTCACTTCTATCACTTGGTATYTGCTGTTGACACAATAATATTAAAATATATTTAATAATATAAATATAAATATAAACTAACCTCTTCTGCCACATCATTCTCCGGTTTTTCTAATGAACCTTTTGGTTTTTTATCTATTGATTTTGATTCTCGTTTTAACAAATCAATTTCTTTTTTACAACCAGTATTGTCATTGAGTAACTTGTTTTTATCTACAATAGTATCATCATCAGAAGATGAATTACAAGTATTGGTTTTACCTAAAAAAAATTGTTTTGAATTTAAGTATAATTAAATAATATAATTATAATTTTTAGGCTTTACTGTTTTTAATTTATGAGTGTTAGATGTATATCTGATTTAAGTACTTTACTTGCTACACACATATTTGTTCTCAGTCGTTTAAGTGCATAGCATTGCAAATTCCGTTAGTAGTAAATTAACCTAACATGAAACTGTTTAATGGTAAGAACRTGATCTGTTTTTGTAAGGATTTTTTCTTTTACAAAAATTTAGTTTTATGTAATGAGAATTTTAAATTTGAGTTTTTTGTTACACAAACAACTTGTTACAAAATTGAACAAACGGAAAAAACTCTAATTACAAACTCGGATAATGTTCAAAAATTTCACAATAGTTGATTTACTCTTAATTTGTTGAAACTAACGGAGCTAAACGTGATCTGCTTAGTGTAAATTTGATATGTAAGATGGAATTAACTAATGGTCATGTAACATCCTCCTTACTTATGTGGACTCAAAATATAATTAAATTAATCAAAAATAACAAATTTATTTACCATCAGAAACAATCATTGGAGAATTTTGTGACATTATCAAAGAATTATTAGCAGACTTCATTAAACTTTCAGCCACCAAAGTTGTCATTTTTTCAGTTTGATCAACAATAAAATTTAAATGTTCGTCTAACGCAATTTTTCTTTGTTCCTCCAATTTAGTCGATTGCTTGAATACAAGTAACTAATGAAAATTAATTTWAAAAAAATCATATTATACAAATAACTCTTTTATAAAATCTAAACATTATAAATTTCTAAATACAATCAATATAATTAGTTAATATAGTTCTAAGATACATGCCTTTTCTACATTACTCCAAAATGTTTTTATCATTTTAGCAATGAAACCAGTTATTCGCTTTTGATGCATTTCAGATGCTTTTGCAGCTTTCTGAGCCTCTATTTTTTTTTCATGGAAATGCTTCATAACCATTTTAGCGCACTTAAGAATAAGATTAAATACAATATGTAAATAACATTAAAATACAGTAATTGTGAAAAAAAAAAAATAATACTTGTTTGGCTGCTTTTTTCTTCCACTTTCGTTCTTGTGCAAAATCAGTGGCAAGCCACTGCATTTCTTCCAAAAGATAGTCATGGTGTGCTTTATTTCTTGGAGGTTCATAAATTTTAGGCAGTCTTTTTTCACTCCATAGCCCATCACGCTGTAGTTGATTAATCTTTTGAATAATTTGTGCTTCCTAAAAAAATATTAGAAACACTAACATAGTTTCAAAAAAAAAAATTTTAATTTTAAAATTGCAATTTACCCATTTCACTCTTTCAATCACTTGATCAGGTTGATTTTCATTAGGCTGCCGGGGAGTGTGAGAGGAATTAGGAAGTTCTTCAGCAGGTGAGTTAGGAGATATTAGTTTATTGGATTCTAAAATTTAAATTTTAAATTTTAATAAAGTCATATTTATTTTTACAAGAAAAAAAACATTGCAAAATTTACCTAATTAAAAAAGAACATATTTTATGGTYATATATTTTTCATAGTTGTAGATTTTACTCACTAGTGTCCGAGACTGGAACAAGTGTTTCCTGTGGTTCGGACGCTTGTTTGTCCAACCACAGTTTAAGGTCGGCAAATGGATCACCATTAAATAAAGGATCGTCATCACATTTAACATTTGCCATAGACCATACATGCTGATCATTAAATACCTGTTCAACTTTCTCAGGTATAAAATCATTGATTTTCGACACCGACTGTACTTCGTCCAATTCTCGTTGGGATTGAGCAAGCTTTGCACGTACTGTCTCCAATTGTTCAAACACCATTTCACAAGTACGTTTAATCTTTGCTGAAGTGCACATTTCCAAAGCTTCAAACTCTTTGGCTGCTGCCAGAATAAAAAATTAATAATAGTAGTTAAAGATCTAGTAAAAAAATAAAAAATAACATACATTCTGTTGAGTATTTACGCTTCCGTGTACTCTGATTTTGGCTATCCACAGAATCATCATGGTCAGAGTTGTAACTGGTGTTTTCAGCATCATTTGTAGAGCCATTTACACCAATTAGATTATCACAATTATTTGGTATATAGTTTACACCAGATGTCACCTAAAMAACGTAAATAAATAATATACAAGATACCTAAAAATAGATTTGAATCATTATAAAATTAAGGAATCTTAAAAACAAAAAAGACACCTAATCCAGAAAAAGAACAACGTTTACAATAAACAATAATGTAGAAAT